CGGTCTTTATAACTTTTAAGTTATCATTTGCTAGTAAACTAAACAAGTTTGTCACTTGACGACGAGAACAGGAGTGCGGGGAAAAAAATTTTACGTCGGGCGTTAAGCGGCGCGGCGAGAAGTAATAGACGCGAAAAAATACACAGACCAAAAACAAGCGACGAGGAATTCCCCGCTCCGTTCGATAGAAGCGCACATGCATGGGTTGATTGATCTCAGGGTTGCCAACCTTATAATAGTTTTTTTTCTTAATATTAGATATTGTTTTAATTCAAAATATCACCTATTGTTTTCAGTGGGGCCTGGGGCCCTTTGTATCCGCGGGGCCCTGGGCTGCAGCCCAAAAAGCCCTTAAGTAGATCCGCCCCTGGTTAAAGTGCTGTAAAAAAAATTAGTCTTGACAATTTTTTATTAGTTACAGTCCTGGCCACATAGCCACCCCCGGGCAAACATCTACATGTTTTTCTTTTTTAAAAAATTTGTAAGTTTAAACCACCGGTACGAATAGTACACCGGAACGTGCCCTTTCTGGATGTTATTTTAGAACACTTACGTGGAAGAATTTTTTTAAGCTTGTAGCTTACTTGTCTGCAAAGTCTATTTTAGTTTTTGAAATTTAAATTTTATAGAGAGTTAGATGAAAACATGAAAGAAGTGCTTAGTAACTAATTTCAAAAAAGGCAGAAATGGGTGTAAACAAATACTTGAGTATGAAAAGCTAATTTTATATCATTACATTCAATCATTTTTAAGCTGCGACGAAGTTCTTTATTTTATGGTTTTAGTCACCTTTTACAGACATGGAAAAATGTATTACTTATTACTTTAAAGGTTTAAAAATTATGTTTAATTATTACAAATCAAATTTATTACACATGACATCTTCGCTGCGCAAGCGTGAGCTCATAACGATTGGAGCAGTTTTTCTGTGGATTCTGTCTCGTGACGCTAGTCTAAATAGTGCTATAGTGCTATTGCCTGAATTTTAGCAATCTTTCTGTTGTTTATGTTAAAGTCATGTTATTAATTGAAAAAAAATACCATTATTTAAATAATACAGATTTGAAAAAAATATTTTAATCTTTAAAAATCTTTATCTTCTTTCTAATGGATGGTGTTTTCAATAGAAATGTAAACAATAACAATCTGCTTACTACATGTTATTCTGATAGGTTCGAGCTTGCAGCGGTCCCTAGTGTAGAAAGCACCATCCATATGCAAGTGCAAATTTTTTTTTAATAATATAATATATTCAAGTTGAACTGTAATAAAATGTATTGTCAGTTTCAGTAGTAACTCTATTTAATGTATAAAAATATAGTTTTTATTTTTGATATTTACAAATTAGTATATAAAGTTGTTTATATCGATTCTTTGATTCAATTGCCTAATTATTCGTAACCAAAGTGTACATATTATTGGAAACTTTAATTTTGCTTGCTCAATTAACTACTTCTTACCTTAAAATAGAAAGAGCATTGCTATTTCTTTTAATTTTCTGTTATTACCCTGCTCTTTACATGTAATCCTGATTATTGAATTTTTAAGCATGTTCCACAATTCAATAAGCAGTGCATTTTTCTATGAAATTGATTTTAACTCTTATACCAAAAGATATATTAATATTAAAAAGTGGCACTGATAAACTCTGTTTTCACAATTTTTGTAAAATTTAAGAAGTAGACAATGAATTTTTTTTATATGAATTACTAGTGTGCAATAAATTGTTCTGCATGAAATTTCTAGCAGTTATATTGGATAACTATTAAATGTGCTCCTGAACTGGTTGTCTGAGTTAACGTTCTTTATGGCTGTACTCAAGGGGTGGGAAGTTAGGGTCCAATCAAAGTTTCTCCTGAAAAATGTTTTTGTTAATTAGTTTTTTGAAAAAAAAATTGGGTTACTAATTATTTTCATAGTTTGAACTTTTCGTTTTACAATCAATTGAAATAACCATTGATGATATGAAACATAACTTTCAAGACTTATAAAAAGGTATAGTAACAACTTGAAACACATAGGTGTACTTATTTATTGCAGATTATGAATAAAAAGTGTATTTAAAATTATTTTACTTTAATAAGGCAACTTAAATCTCTTCCATTTTTCATTAATTATGAAATACTAAAAAAATTTGTAGACTTTCAATCTTACCATATAATATAGAATCTGTTACAAGAATTATGTTTTAACTATATTAAAGCACTGGCAATCTGTGTAAAAAAGTAAGTTTTGACTCTTGCCTAATTATAGTGTTTTGTAACATTTAAATTCAAGGTTAACACAGATCATTATCCTAAAAAAATAATAACAAGTAGATTTGTTGAGTTCTGTACGCTTACTCAATAAAGATCTAAGTCTGTGTCAAGGCTTTTTAAATGAAGGTATTTTTATTTTTTTAAATAATATGGCTTGTAATTTTCTTGTCATTCTTTCTATTCATTTTTACTTTAAGATGATATTTCAATTAAAAAAATTTTGCACAATCAAGAAATATTTATGCTCCTTACATAAGCTTTCTTTCTTGTACATTGTTCAGTTTTGTACATTTTTTAGAAAGTAATCACTCATGCATCATTTAAAAGTATGTTTAACACTTAAAATTTTTCAATTTCAGTTTTGAGCTGCTCCTCTTAATAATACTATTTCTGATGCCATAAAATTGACTCTCCTTTTTATACTCCAAGCATTCTCTGATGTTCAAGTTGGTACAGCAGAAGTAAATTTTTATATATATTTGTGTAAAATAGGGAAAATATTTAATATTGTTTTGCCTTGTATTGTGATTTATCTTAAACTAAAAATATAAAGGGATATTTTATTGTAAATACGAGTTTTTTTACCAATATATTAGTTTTCTTTTAATTATCTTTTGTAATTTTATATTTATCATTTCTATGTAATTTGCAAATGATATTTTATTTTGTTATTAAAATAGTCTTGCTCTGCTAATAATCTGCTTCAAAATGAAAAAAAAAGAGTTTTTTAAGCTTTTTTTTGTTTATAATTTTCTTCTTTTGTTTATAATTTTCTTCTTTTGCTTATAATTTTCTTTTGTTTATAATTTTCTTCTTTTGTTTATAATTTTCTACTTTTGTTTATAATTCTTTCTATTTTATTGAGATTTTTATTTACATTGATTGACGATTTTCATGAAGATCTAACCTGGTTTTAAATTAATATGTTAAGTGTACTAAAATGAAACAACTATTAAAAATTAATACAAAATTTTAAAATGTTTAAAGTTTCTGTAATTATGATTGGAATTTTATAATATTGTTTCACAATGGAAATTAGTATTCCTATTATATTGATTATAATATTTAAAGTACCCGTTCAGAGGAATTTTGAAACTAGCAAATTCCTTCGTTTATTGTTCAAAATTTCTGCCAACATTTAACCATAATGTTGAAATTAATTTGTTTTGAGAAGCAGAACAGTATCTCTTGAATGTGGATGCTAATAATGAAAAAAAAAATGTGGATTATGTTACAGTTTGAGTAAAACACCTCAAACTACAGGTTTGATGTTTATGCATCAGTTGATAAATATATTGAAACTTGTGATATAGTTGAATCAAAAAGTAGTCGTAGAAGTGCAATATAATACCAATGAAGAGTGAACACAAACAATTAGAGCAAATATTTGCAGAAGGCCTGAAAATCTTTAAACCAATCAGGAGCTTTTTCAGACATGTGTAACAGCTACAATCTGTAACAGCTGTTGAATATTGATTGTTTTCCCTGAGAAACAAGAAAACCAAAATTTCCAAATATTATAAATATGTTAATGCATTTATTTATCCTTTACTTTGCACCGTAAATATTTTTGCATAAATATTTTGAATAATTTTTTCAATTAAATGTATTACAAATGTATTAATTTTCATACATTTCCAAAATATTTTAGGTTAACTCTCATTCGTCGTTTTCCTGCACCTTTGATTTGTAATGAATAGTCCCTTATAAAAAGGATTAAATTGTAGATCGTTTGAATTGTAGCTTATAAAAACAAACTATAATAAACAAATTAAAAAATTTTCTTATAAATTATAACTTAATAACCGAGGTTTCTAAAAATGTTTAGCTGCCACCTCACTGTGTATTTTAAGAGAAACTTGATTCTATTTTATTCTTAGAACTAGGGGTGCACAATGATTTTTATCTAAACATTAGTGTTCTAAGCACCAGATATTTTCACAAGTAAACTTAATAACATATTAGCAGAAAATTAAATACTTTTAATTATTCAAATTTATTTAAAACTTGAAACCCTGATATATTTTTTAAAAACACTTTTTCCATTTTTCACAATAATTAATTTATTAATATATATATATATATATATATAAATATNAGACGTGATATATATTCTAACCAAAAGGAAGCTTGCAGAATGAAAGTGCAAAAACAAAAAGAAAAAAATACGTATTTTATAGAGTAATATAAATTTAAATTAAATAATTTAATAAAAGAAATTTTTTCTACGATTAGAAGTTCCCACGAGCCGCATGTGGCCAGCAGGACATAGGTTGTGCACCCCTACTTAAAACTCTTATCTTGACTAATATTTTTTAATATGTAAACCATGTTTAAGGGGGAAAACACTAAAATCAAAACAAAGTTTAAGGATTCCGCTTATAGGTTTTTATTGTTTTTACACTTTTACTTAAATCATGATTGTAATAAAAGTTTTCCTATACTTGTTACTCTATAATATATAAAATGTAGAACAGAAATTTTTCTGAAAGAGGTTTAAATTTCATTATTTTAATGTTAATTCACTAGTTAGTTTTTCTACAGATAGCTTAATATATCAACAAGTTATATAGAAACCTTTTAACCTAAATTCTTTTCTATAAAAAGTTTTTTTTTCCTTGTAACCATTTTTTTCTGTTAAGAGATTGTCTCCATGCATTTTTTTATGTAGTTTTTAATTCATAGTAATTGTAGTTCATAGTAATTGTAGTTCATAGTTATCAGAAATAGAATGCTAATTTTTTGTATTTTTCACTGTCCTTAATTGTTTTCTTTTCATTTAGTGACGGAAACGTAAGGAGTGGAACCCACAGCTGCTGCTCCATCATCATTTTTGCATACTTGCTGTTTCAGCTATGTGAAAAGTAATTCTTTTTTTTTCTTCTGCTAAACGAAATATGCTGTCAGTAATGAAAAAGTTTCTTTGTATTTCTTTTAACCTTTAATCAACATTATTATTTTTATACAAAAAATAGTATTAAAAATGATACATTCAATCTTTTGTTTCTGAAACGGAAAGTATGACTGATTCATGAGAAAGTTTCACATTTATTAGCAATAAATATGAATTATGAATTTTTTTAAAATGGAAAATATTGTGTTAAAATTAATTTTGATTTTCGTGAAATACTCTTTGACACACTCTTTAAATTTGTTTGATAAAATAACTAGATTTTTTCTTAATTCAGACCAGAAAAAATGTCAATGTTCCCTTCAGTATTTTTTATTATTTGTTAGATAAATTCTTTCAAAATAAATTTTGACTATGCTGAAATGTTTATTAGTGGACCCTTT